AAGAAGAAAAAAGGACCAGCCTCTTGCTCGCTTTGTTCCCGGCAAGTCTACCATACTTACGGCGCTTACGGCGAGGCTAAAGCTGAAACAATCAGATCAATGCCGTTAAATTTGATATTAAGAGGAATATTTTTTCAATAATGAGCAATAATGGCAAAAAAGCGCCAAAAACTAGACTTTCGTATGAGATTTGATCCCAATTTTCGTTTTGGGTTAACACTCAAAACATTTTTTAAACAGTTAGAAATTCGAAACTTATCTAAACTATGATAAAATGCTTGTTCGAAGCGATATTTTCAATTGTACAAAGATGTTTTGTTGCATTTGTGTTAGAATGTTGCTTTGTCAGCCTTTTTTATTGAAAATATAATGGGAAATAAGCAAATGAAGGCCTAAACCTCATTTTCGAATAAAATTTTTGCTTTGGGTTAACACTTTGATTCCACTTTCATCGGTCATCTCCACTTCCAAACAAGTTAAACTTTCTAAATAACAAGATTTTAGCCTTGTACAACAGCCTTTCTTCAAAAAAAWAGTTTTTGGCGCTCACTCCTTGAATACGAAAAGAGTTCTCTCTTAATTTTTATTCAATAGAAAGAGATAGTCGAGCAATGAACGCCATAAGAGCAGGAATGAAAATGTGGACGGACAATACTTGCATTCGGTTCAAACAGAGAACCAACGAGTATGCTTATGTGCACTTCCATATTGGAAATGGGTGAGTAAGATCCTTGGAATATTATATCCCATTATATTATATCTGTTTATGTAATGAAAATATGTACCTTGACCTAGATCAGCCCAGAGGTTCAGAGCCGGTTCGATCTGTGAGTGCCTGACTTAGATTAGCCCAGAGGTTGTTTCAGGGTTCGATCTGTGAGTTAGCCATGCCCTGACTTGTTGAGCCCAGAGGTTCAGAGTTCGATCTGTGAGTTAGCCATGCCCTGACTTAGATTAGCYCAGAGGTTGTTTCAGGGTTCTACCTGTGAGTTAACCCTGCACTGACTTGTTCAGCCCAGAGGTTCAGAGTTCGATCTGTGAGTTAGCCATGCCCTGACTTAGATCAGCCCAGAGGTTGTTTCAGGGTTTGACCTGTTAGTTGGCCATGCCCTGACTTAGATCAGCCCAGAGGYTGTTTCACCATACTTACAATTCTATTCGCTAGATGTTCATCGGAGGTTGGTACGAAGAACAGACTTCAATATCTGAGTCTTGCGTCTGGCTGCTGGATACCCGGGATCGTTGCACACGAGATTGGTAAGTTTGTTTGACGGTATTATTTGATATACAGCTGGATTCAAAAACAGTTTTCGCCTCGTTCATCATGTCTGGGACCTCTCKGAAAAACACCTCGGAGATGGCAGCTTGCAGCATAAACACTACTATTATTATTATYGTCATATTTCGATTTGGTGTATTAATTTGATATTTTTACACTCCAATTTAGGACATGCCCTTGGGTTTTATCATGAACAGTCGCGTCCTGATCGCGATGATTACGTCACGATATATTTAAATAACGTTGATTTTGGTAAGTAGTCTTGATACCATACAATGCTCACGCTGATCAAAAATATTGAGGGACCTGAGCCTCCAAACAATTTATTTTTATTCGCGTGGCCATCGATTGTAAATCCATATTTGGTAAGCTTAGCTTATTTGTGGCATAAAATCCACTCCCCAAATCGACCACACCAATCGACCACCCAAATCGACCAGCCAAATCGACCACCCACTTCGCACGAAACTAACTTCGAATGAAACTATTATTATCCTTCATAAATTAGGCGGTAAGCTCACTAGATACACCGTGATGACGAGGCCCAATACAGGCCGAAACAGCTGTCCACGGTTTCTAGTTGAGCTGGCTCATTTTTTACGCGACTTGAAGTTGTGAAAGGCCCATTGGCACTCTTCTTCAGTCGTTTTATATAAGGCTCGTAATTTACCTATTACGCATGTTCTTATTATCCTTACTGAGTTAGATATGAGATATAATTTCGACAAGTATCCACGCTCTACCATTGACTCTCTAAACACCCCGTATGATTATGGAAGCATCATGCATTATGATGCAACAGCATTTGGAAGAGGACGAACCACCATCGTACCAAAGAGAAAAGGGGTAATTATATTTATCAACACCATCACTGCATTCTTATTATTAACATCATTATCATCATCATTATCATCATCATCAGCATCATCATCACCATCACCACCATTATCATCATCATCATTATCATCATCACCAGCATTAGAACATTATCATAATAATTACACCCAAAGAACGCCAAGGCACACCGGGGACGATGACCTTTCATTCTTCTTGTTTTTTCTCAGGTGACTATTGGTCAGCGAACTTATATCAGCAAGATCGACATTGAGCAGATGAACCTGTTGTACAAGTGTAGCGGGACGACAGGGGGGAACGGTGGTGAGTATGCTGTAGTTGCTGGGTAATCAGCTGATAAAAGTCTTTGAATGGTTTTCAAACACTGACCAGCATGTGCTCTCAAACAGAAAGAATTGGTGCGTGTCAATCGGCTGATAAAAGTCTTTGAATCTCATTATCTGCTCTAAATGGTGTTCAAACACTGACCACCATGTGCTGTCA